TATATTTGGTAGCTTTAAAATCTAACTGTTTTATTGCAGTGCTGTGATCTTAAGGATATCAAGCTTGCCTATCGGTTAAATAAGGCAATGGAGAAGGGAGACAACTGGAAATTCTTGGACGTGGATCGGTTAAATGCCTACTGGTGAGTGAAGAGCAGGTTACGTTCAGCGTCTTGTGTATTGTTGTCAAATTGAATACAAAGTAGGATTCGAACATTGCACAGAAAGATGTTTTGTTGAACATCGGCTGGTTATTGTATGTGCAGGTTGGGAATTAGGTCCCTCTTAAGAACAGTGACAGCTTAGGATTTATGTTCTGTTTGTGGCCTTGCCCGAACTGGAACGAAGTGTCTTGTAGCGTCCGTTTAGCTTAATACCCATCCAAGAACTATACCAACCAGTTGTATTTTTTACAATCCTCTTGTCCACTTAGGATGGCAGCTTAGGAGGTAACACCAAAATAGGGTACAGGTCAGGCCTAGCTCTCTGCGTGGTGGTGTAGAGAGAGGTTGCCATGCAGCAGATGTATTTAGGCACCAAACTCCCATGTAGTTCCACCATTTGACCCTGTAATCATGGCATCTGAAATATCTTTACCAATGTCATTAAGTGCTGCAGTCAGCGAATGGAAGTCCTTGGGAGCATAGTCATTTGAAGAAAAGCCTATTTATGCGCTGCAACTAGAGATGCTTCAGTAAATTTATGAAAAATAATTATCATCAAAAGAAGATGTATTTTCAGAGGTGGGATGATTCCTATGATCTGACCTTATTTAACCTGTAAATAAATCAAGGAAATTAATGGAAATTAATTTCTTGGTGTAGGGACATTTTTCCTAGTCAGTGCATTGGATCAAGGTTAATTTAATTCACTTCTTAAAGTGGGCCTTAACCAGAGGTTGCATTTGAGACAGATTCAGATACCTCAAACCGGGCGTCAGGCAGGGAGATTGTATTTTTTCGAGATTTTAAAATGGAGTGGTCTAACTTCTAATTAATTCTGCCAATTACCTAGTGTCAGCATTAAGTTCTCTCAAAAATGCTACTGCTTTTTTAATTGTATGGAATATTGCAATCGTACAGTGAAATTTCCTTGATCTGTAGTATGAATCTGATCAAAACACCGTCATTTGCTGGTGCTTCTGTATGGTTTGGTTGATTTAATCATTACTGAATTAGAACATTTTTTGCCTCCTCCAGGTCAAAATTCTTTTCATTGTTGTGTATGATGGAACAAATTGATGTTGTATTGAAATGGTACAAAGAAATGTCCCCTTCGGTAAGTATGTATTAGGGTAAGCAAGCTTCAGAGCTTTAGTATGGAGAAATGGAACAGTTGCAGTTTACTGAAACAATTCTCTTCCTTCCTCAGCTCTTCTATCCAACTCCTAAAAATATATTGGACCTCCTTCAAGCACTGGATGCAGCCAACCACTTGGAAGTGATACCTTCAGTCTGGGAAGGTCAGTAATAGCCACACAGCTACGTAGGCAGTTTGATAAAAGTCAGGAGCCATGCAAAGTGGGAGGTGGTTGGGAAACTTCCCAGTGTTCAGAAGAGCCATGGTGAGGTTCTTTGGCATGAGGGATGTTATTCCTTAGTGCGGTGCTGGGGCTGTTGTATTAGAGAAAGGCAGAACCGATAGCACAATCAAGAGAAATCGTGGCTGTGTCATAGTTAAATGTCAGAGTCTTGGAAAGCTGAATGCTTCCCAGAGAGTAGTACCTTAACCAACAGCCCAGGTTTAACTCATTTAAATTATTTGCCTGTTCTTTGCCCCTTAAGAAGAAGAGACAAGAATGCAGATACAGACTTCAGCACACAGAAAATACCCTGCTGTCACCAAACACCAAGGGGACAGACAGGTTCTTCTAGGGATCCTTGGCAGAATGATGACAGCACTAATATGGAGTTACAATTAAAGCTTTATTTTCTTCAGAGGATTTTATGATTAGCATAGCATAGAACTTATAATCAAGAGTAGCACATGATTTCTATAAGCAGAATCAGTATGGTACAATTTTATAAGTAGCATAGGATAGAATTTCACAGCACTGCTTACCTTATGGTTTCTCTGCAGACTGGGACAAATCTTAATACTTGATTTGCTGTGTCAACATAAAAATCATAATCGAGCCTCGAAAAACATACAAAAGAATACAAGTCATCACTCAGTCCTCAGAAGAAGCAGACAAAGGTGGAGGTGTCCCTGGGCACCGGAGGGTCATGGGTCTCGCTGTCCAGCAGCAGCTCAGGTCCAAGTTCCCACTTAGGACTTGCAACTGCTTGGTTTTCTAGACAGTGCTCTGTGTGCTGTTACCTTCCCTGTTCTGTGACAGGGTCATCACCACCCCTGGGTTGTCCGGGAACCTGGGACCTTGAAGGCTGTTAATGAGGGGAGTAGTGGGGCTGCTGCCTAGGAATCTTGAGGCCAGCAGGGAGGGGAAGAAGAAATCTGGTTCATGTATTTGGTGCACAGGACCTTCAGGGCCTGATAATGAGGAGGAAGGGAACTAATACCTACTAACTACTGCCTTTCTCTAAACAGATGTGAAACAGCTGGGGTTTAATAGGAGGCCAGACCTGTTGGAAGAGCTCTTGTCTTTGATGAGCAGGGAGCAGCACCCTGATGAGGTAAGGAAGCTGTTGTGGTTTAACCCTGGTAAACAGCTATGCCCCACACAGTCGCCTGCTTGCTCGTTCCTCCCCGGTGGGATGAGGGAGAGAGTCAGAATGGTAAAAGTGCAAAAACTCATGGGTTGAGGTAAAGACAGTTTAATAAGTAAAGCAAAACCCGTGTGCGCAAGCGAAGCAAAATCAGGGATTCGTTCACTGCTTCCCATGGGCAGGCAGGTGTTCAGCCATCTCCAGGAAAGCAGGGCTCCATCACAAGTAACAGTTACTTGGGAAGACAAATGCTGTAACTCCAAACGTCCCCTCCTTCCTTCTTCCCCCAGCTTTTATTGCTGAGCGTGACATCATATGTATGGAATATCCCTTTGGTCAGTTGGGGTCAGCTGTCCCAGCTGTGTCCTCTCCCAACTTCTCGTGCACCTGTGGTCTACTCACTAGTGGGGTGGTAAGGAGAGCAGAAAAATCCTTGGCTCTGTGTAAGCACTGCTTAGCAATAACTAAAACATCCCTGAATTATCAACAAACACACTTTTCATCACAAATCTAAAACATAGCCCCATACTAGCTACTGTGAAGAAATTTAACTCTATCCTAGCCAAAACCAGTACAGAAGATCAGTGAAAAGAATCAAGGTGTCTCCCCGTCTCTGTGTGCAGCATACAGACTGTATTTAAGTGCTGTATTATTGTCCCTGGTCGGTCTTAAGAGGTCCAGTTCCAGTGGATAGGCTGTTACAATTTTCCAGATCCGTGTGAGCTTATCCAGGCCCGCTAAACCCTTCGGATTGTCTTCAACCTAGAGAGAAACCTCAGATTAACACAGAAGAGGAATCACTTCCTTCCCAGGGTTTGGAAGAGTAATCCAGCCCAGCCAGCTGCATCTCTAGGGAAGCACATGGCAGAAATCAGGGATTCTTGCCAAAAATGTCATTGCAGGAACTGGCTTCTCCAGCTGAAGAGGGTTAAGTGCTTGTGTGTACTGCAGAGATCTCCAAGTACAGCTGACCCTGCAAAGCCATCTTGGAGCTTGCCTAGTGGGGACAATTGTCCTGACAGAAGTGAGAGAGTTTTCTGCCAGGAGTAACCACTGTTAACTTACAAATTTAAATCACATACAGGGCCCACCTGTAGGATCTGTAGGAGGAATTGCACTGAAAAGGATATGTTAATTCTAGAGGTTTTGGGATTAATAGCACAGTCTTTTCACAGATTCAACTGGCATTTGCCAAGTGTGCTGAAGACATCAAAGCTGTCCATGAGCAAACCGGGAGGGAGCAGGTCCCGCTAGAATGGACAGGCAGTGCGCTGGGCCATGTCGCTCTGTTGTTTGCCAGGGCTGGGAGAACCCAGGACGCTTGGTACGTGTGTGGCTGTCGTGAGCTCCTGGCTTGCTGACAGTGTAACTCAAGGCTTAATCACAAAAATCAAAAGTTAACGACTTGATTGCCTTGGAATGCTGGTGCAAAGGGAGGGGGTAAATCCTTCTGGGAATGTGATGGGGGGTTTCTTAATTTTATTGTTCATTCTTGGCACCAAGTTACAGTTGCCTATCTTAAAAATGGTTTAGAAGTTGTCGCAACTGACTTAGAGCATCGTACAGTTGCTTATGGCAAGGTAGCGTTTGATTATCACTTCACTAAGGACTGCAGATTTCCTACAGCTTCCCATTTTCTAATTTTTAGAACTCTTTGGAATTCAGACTGCTGAAGAGATTAAATTAAACCTTTGATTAGAATTAACCCTAACTCAAACTCTAAAGAGAATATTTTTAGAACTCTCCAGTAGCTAGACATGCTTTCAACTTGAAACACTGGTTAAAATAGCTAGCCTGCAATTTAAGGTTCTGAGCTATTATCTGTTAAATACAGATGCCCTCTTTGCACTGATTCATTTGAAACAAAGAAGTGGCAAGTACCCTTCTAAAAATATATAATATTTGAAAGTAAACTTGCCATCAACTACAGTTTTTATTTTTTCTGCACTGGTTAAGGTATTTTGTGTTAAACTAATCAGTGGTGTTATCTGGTACACATTGCATCTGCGAGAATGCAGCATGGGATCTGTTTCAGATCTGTGGGGAAGATCGCTTCATGAAATTGAGCTTGCCTGCATTTCAGCGGGGGCTTATCCAAGAGATCTAGTCTCTGTCTCTTCCTGTGTTTTGTGATGTTTCTTTTTTAATTACTATTTTGTTTTTAACAGGAACATGATGGAGCGTTTCCAGCAAATTAATAGGATTCCCACGTGAGTACTTTTAGGTTCTGACTTCAGGGACTGAGTCTCCCCTTTGGCTGAAATCTTGCATTTCTGTTACAGAATCATCGAATAGTTTGGGTTGGAAGGGACCTTTAAGGTCATCTAGTCCAACGCCCAGTTATAACTGACAATAGTGGTCCATATCTTATTGTTACTTCCAAAGCGTGTGTCTGTCCCTGTGAGCACGGGTGTTTGTTTATCCAGCTGGTAGGTTCCAAGACCCTTCTGTCTCAAAAAATACTGAAAATGCAAAGGGGAGGGGTTTAAGTGGTTGATCCTCAAGATGTCATTGAATGAAGCTGTGGGACACGGAGAACAGTGCCACTGATGAACTCGGCATTAGAAATCGGTCAGAGCAGGACTCCTGAGAACATCTCATTTCCCGCATGCTGAAAAGAATTCCAATACACTATTAACCAAGCGTATGTGCTTCCGAGGTGTCTGGATTTCTGAAGACAAGTTTATCGAGTCAAATCCTAAATCTTATGTGATTAGCCTGTTAGGCTAGAACAGTTAGCTTTTCTTAGGATTTTGGGGGAAAAAATTCCGTTTGAAGTAGACGACAACTTCTAAGGAATAGTAATGCATTTTGGGTTTTGTGTGGTTTGTTTTTTTTTTTTAATAAAATTTGAATTCTGGAAGCTCACATAAGTGAACACTGTGAGGGTGTGTGGTACCAAAGGCTGCTGTTAGTGGCACTCTGTACTTGGCCCTTTTTGCGGACTGCTGGGAGCGTGGCCCAAGGAAGCCTTGACACTGCCAAGCTGCATCAGAGCCCGTCTTAATTTAGGGAATAGAGAAAGGAGAAGAATTCTCCTGAAATCATGGTGTAGCTGATGGTTTGTGGCTGCCATGGGTCATGAAAGTAAAGAGAAAGTAAGTGGTTTCCCTGCTGTTACAAGATGGATCAGAGGCTTTTCTGGCTGAACTGTCCCCTGCCTTCCCTTCTCTGCCAAGCTCCCTGCGGCACCAGCTGCAAACACTTACTGGTTTCCATGCCTAAAGGCAAGAGGGGTGTCTCTGGCAGCTGTCACAGGTGACGAAGGAGCAGAGCCAGCACTTGGACATGAAATGGGAGCTGGCAGAGCAGAGCCAGCTGTCAGCGGCTCCCGGTGCCCACAGACAGCACAGCCGTCTTTGGCAGGGAGATGCCCGCCTTTGATTTAAAGCGGTTATACTGTTCTGTCACCTCTGCCAGCCCCCTAAAAGAGGGTTAGGGCCTGATGTGGGGACTGTAAAGAGGGGAAGGTGGCATCCTTACCCTGAGCAGTGAGCTGCTGCCCTCTGGTTTTGTCAAAGAGAAGTATTGCTTTCTGCTAGGATAGGAGTTCCCAAGCGCACCACATCGGTACGAGGTGAAGGCTGAGGTGAAATTCCTGGCAGGAGCAGAATTGGGCTGGTTGAGTGATCTGAAAATCTGTCACCTCCTCTCCCTCTCTAAAGCACCTGCTGTAAGTTAATGGCCACCTCACCTGGGGCCCTGTGAACACGCTTTATCTTTGCTTTTGCAGTGACCAGGTGATGGATGAGTTCTTGAACTGTGCAAAACAAACCAATTGCCCAGATGAAGCAATTATGCTGGTAAAGCTTGCAGCATCCCTAGGTCTTCCTTCGTCTCAAAGGCTTAAAAGCAGAACAGAGGAGGAATTTGAACTCTCTGAAAAGCAGAAGTAAGTTGGAGTACTTCATGTTACTGCTGAAGGGGTATAGTAGACCAGGTGTTTGGGTTCGGGAGGTAATTCCTGAAGAAAGGCTTCTCTGCCGAGGTAGCAGAGAACTGGCTTCAGAATGATGTACTTTTGCGTTGCTTCTGGTCAATTCACACCCCCAAACGGCCCCTCTGGTTTTGATTCCATGCTGTATCCATCCCACCTAGGAGAGACGGTAACTTGCCATGATAGGGTTAGCCTTATCCACCCCACAGATCTGTTACCGCCTTTCCTTCCCAGAATCTTTTCCTGGCTGGGTCTGGCCACCTAGAAGACACTGACCCCAGGCCAGTCAAAGCAGGGAAGTGGTACAGGGTGGCCCTGCACGTGGTTCACATGTTCTGAGGCTCACGGTCAGTCTTCAGTACATCTCAGTAGCCACCACTGTTCACTGCCAAGCTGATGCAGCCAAGTTCAGATGATGGGCATAGCCTTGAGGGAGCAGTTTGGAGGCAGTGGTCTGGTCCAAGGGAATGAATAAATAGAAGTCCAGCACCCTTGTAGCTGACCCACCACCTTCTGGGCAACTGAAGTAGTCTGCTTTTCCAAAAGGGGGTGGGTGTGCTTCCACCGAGTGCTGGATGGACCTGTCCTTTGAGGCCAATAGGCATCAGACAGCCCATAATGTTCTCTTTGGGGGCATTTACCCTATGGTTTGGATCTCTCTTTTCAAGCAAAAGTCACAACAGGTGACTGATTCCTGGACTGTTTTACATTATGCAGGAAGACACTGGAGAGTATCGAGTCAGACAGCGACAGCAGCGATAGCGACAGTGACAGCGACCGTGACTAGCTGTCCCTCTTGCCATCTTCTTGGGAAAACTGGGAGCAACCAAAGCCAGGAGGATTCTGCAAGAAGAGAAATTACTGAAGGGATGGCTTCTGGGAGGTGCTGCAGCACTGCTAAGCCCTCCAGAGCATTCTGGTACGGGGCCTGCTTTGGCAAGAGTACGTTGTCCTCGTTGGAGCAAGCTAGAAGCTGTCCTGCTTCATCTTCGTGGTAACTTCAAACACAGCGTGGGCTACACCAACGCAGTCTCTTCTACACCGCTGCCTGCACGGGCTGGCTCCTGGTGGGCAGCTGTGGCTTCAGCAGCTTGGGGGAGGTACCGGAGGGCTGCGGTGAGAGGAGTGCTGCTTCCTGGAGGCTGCTCAGCAGGTACAAGACTTTGACTTGAGCGAGACTTCTCTTGGACCTCCTGTGACTTAAAACTTAATTCCTTTCCAGCTAACTTTAATGAACTACTTAAATATCAAGTTTATTCTGTATGTAAACACTGCAAGTAATGCAGTACTCATCACCTGTGGTGTTATTCCTCATACTTTTTGGTGTTTTGGGACAGGCTTTGGCCTGTAGATGTTAAAAAGCTTCAATTTGTACAGCTGGAGACTACATCTAATAAACGGCTGACATTAAAGCTGGCTGCATTCTGGAAATCCCTGAGCAAAACCTGTTGATTACAAAGTGTTGCTGCTGCGCTGTGAGAGAGTAAGTAAAGTTCATGCAGAATACAGCAATAAAGGGAACGACGTGGCCGGGAAGACAGATGACTGCGCTGTTCCGTTCCCTGCCTTGCAGTTACCTGTGCTGCTGTTCTCAGACTGTAGGGGAAGCTTGAAGGTTTTTTTTGACATACTCATGTCGAACAGGCAAAGAAAGTCTTGTTCCCGAGAGCATTAAATCATATTCTAGTGAAAAGCAGTTGATTCTCTTTGTGAAAAAAATAAACCCTTGATGTGCATGATGCTGCAGGACAGGTGAGAGCACTTTAGCAGCAAAAAGCAGCCTGGGGATAAGTCAATAATGAGTTGAGGAAACAACAGCTGCTAGAGGTAGAACAAACTACAGCTGAAAGGCTAAGTCAAGTGTTCCTCACATGACAGGAGTGGAGGGGCAGTAAAGGCAAGGTTTGCTCCAGAAAGCAAATATGCCAGTTCCAGGAACATGTGACTAGTCTGGAGGTAGATCAAAGATAAAGTACGCTCTTTGGTTTATTGTACCAACAATCCGAAACTGGATCAGCACGGAGACAAAGCCAGTTACTCATTTCAGGAAGCGAGTACTGGGTAAGTTTGATCAATTTGTCTTCACTGATGGTAAGAATTAAGGGAAAGGTAAGAGAAGGCAGGCAGGAGCTTGGTCTTTCTGTTCAGCTCTCGTGGCTGAACCAAAGCCTGGCTTCTAGATAGAAATACCTGGTCTTCTAGAACTACAGAAGAGCGGGTCTGACAAAAAAGATGCAGGGGTAGCAGTCTACCAGACCATGGGCTCTGACACCAGTTTAAGTTGTGTCTACTTAAACCTGTACTCGTACAGGGATTTTTTTCTTTTTTACAGCTGTACAAATTAACGAATAGACACATTGATCATATCAATGAATTCTTGCTCCTTGAAAGGAGTCACACAGAGGTAAGTTTTGTCTTCCTCGGGTCATGGAGAAAGGCTGTTCTTGTACTGCCTGGCTGTATGTGATGGTTAAATAGGAGACTGAACAGCAGGAGAAAGTGGTTGAAGTCTCGTTTTATTCAGCTGACAGAGTGGCGAATCATTAATGGTAGGTTACAAACATTATTTTGGTTGGATGACAAGCCTGCTTGGTAAGATGGGAAAACAAAATTTCTTTACACAAATTGTAGAGAAGCTTCCCGATGTTGGATGTCATGATAACTGAAAACCAATACAAATACAACAGGTGATAAAGTTAAATACAGTGCAAGGAAACAAGACGGTACCCGTGCTTTGATTTTAACGCTTCCAGCCCCTGCCAACAGCTTGGTTTGCAACCCTTAGGAGATCATGGGATTTCTTTCCGGCACAAACAATTGCTGAACTGCCTCCAAAACTACAATCCTAGCTCACTGCACTTGAGTTGTTCCTAACCCCACAGCGCTGGCATACGCTGTCAAGATATCCACAATTTGTTTTGTTTCTAGGGTCATTCGAGCTTCGGTCAGCCAGTCGTGTGCCACTCTCCTCGACTCTCCTCTTAACTGGTTGACAAATTTAGCTGCCAGCTCCAGATCTCCGTGTTCAATGCAATACGAAGCGTAAGACAGTAATTTAAACGTATCGAGGTCGTCAGGGCTGAGCTCGGCAGGTGGCTTCAGCTGTTGAGGGTGAAACACAAGCAGCGACTGCAGGTAAGACAGGAAGTATTGATACAAGCTGTTTCTCGTTTCATCGATCATGGCCACTCTTTTTGCCAGTTTTTGGACTGTGTAGAAACGTGCTCTGAGGGCCTCCTCGCTGTATACTCCCCGCGTCAGGGACTCCTGAGGGAGAGCTGCTGTTAAGGCTTCTGTAAACGCGTTGTCAGAGCAACTGGCTTTGATGGCCTTCACCGCGCTCTCCAGTGGCTCTGTGGGACTATCCCCAGAGGCTGTTTTCATGCAATATTTGAGTGCTTCAACAGAAAGCCACAGCTGATGGGCCTTTCTGGCTTCCTCTTCTGCTACTGCGTGACCTGCAAAAGAAGCCAAGAAAGGGACTTTCAGCTGGGGACACACATGCAGGAAGAGTTTTGAACACAAGCAGCAAAAGCCATCCCTCCAAACACTCTGCGTTCAAAAGCAGCCGCCCCCTCAGCCCTTGATCTTCGATTAAGTCTGTTCCACAATGCAGGGTCAGAACAAGAGAACAGCTTTTAGGAGAACCAGCTTTGGACTTGTACAGCTGGGATTTGCTGGGTGCTCAGCAGTGTGGCAAATCCAGGCCCATGAGCTACGTGCCTAAGCCTGGGTTCAGGCACCCAGGTTTGAGTAACAGGCCTTATCAAATACATTACTTTAGTCCTTAAAGAAATGTGATTTCAGCGCTCACTCTCAACTGCTTGCTCAATTCCTTTCAGCCTTGCATAGGCAGTGTTTATATCCAACGTGAAGTTGTCGAGCTGTTCCTGAGTAAGGCGTCGGAATTGCATTTCTTGTTCACTGAGTTTCTCCGATAAGTTCTGAAACAGAGCGAGACACATAGATCAGAAACAGCTGTTTAATTATATATACCTTAATAGTAAGGTTTGTTTCTATAAATCTGTTGCTCTTGCTAGGGACAATGCACATAGTAAATACAATATACCAGTAAGAAGCTTTATTGGGATGGATTTAACAGTTACTGCACTTGTAACCGTCAAAAATTTCTCACCTATAGCAAAAGCTTTTAAGACAAGTCTGAAGAAAACATATGCGTTCAGGCACTTTAGATCATCTCTTCAAGATAAGCAGGCTTCCCTCCCCAGCCTGCATTTCAGTCTCCTGGAAGATGGTTCAGGACTCTCATCCTGTGAAGCGTATGCTTTGCAAGGGTTCAAATACCCCCCCCCAAATTCCCCTGGGGACTCTTCTCCCTTACCTGCTCAAATTCCACCTTTAGTTCCTGCTCCTGGATCTTAAGAACATCTCTCAGATGGTCTGTGTGGGCAGCAGCCTGCCGCCGGAGCTGGGTCCTCATTTCGCTCTCCATCACCTCTCGAACTTCTTCAACCTGTACACACACGAGTGCTGTTATTACACTGCTACTTTTCAACTGCTTGTCACGTGCTTCCTTGTATCATTCCTGTGATTATCTAGGGTACATTTTATAGAAGTGGCATTCACAGAGCCCATGTTTCATCTTAAAAACCTGCTGAGGCCCATTTTTATAGCTGAACCTTTTCCTAAAAGTGTTAAAGAGCAGCTTCACAGTCCACAATGCCAGTAACTGGTGGTTACTCACTAGGCACTTAGTGCAGGTACCAAAACATTACACAAAAGGCCCACAGTAAGGTGTCAAACTAAACACTTGGGTGTCTGTAAACCAGCTTCCAAACAAAACAACACTTTACCTTTTCCCTCCATG